TTATATATTCTGGATGTTAAACCTCTGTCAGATGTGTCACGGGTGAAGATTTTCTCCCATTCTGTGGGGTTTCTCTTCACTTCTTTGATTGTTTCTTTTGCTGTACAGATGTGTTTTAGTTTAATGAGGTCCCACTTGTTGATTGCTGACCTTAATTCCTGAGCAACTTCTGTCCGATTTAGAAAAACCTTTCCTACACTTATATCTTGTAAGTTACTGCCAATATTCTCTTCTCATAGTTTCAGGGTTTCCAGTTTCACATTGAGATCTTTGATCCATTTGGAGTTGACTTTTGTGCAAAGCAAAGGTAAGGATCTAGTTTCATTCTTCTACAGGTGGAGATCCAGTTTTGCCAGCACCGTTTGTTGAAGATGCTGACTTTCCTCCAATGTGTGTTGTTGGCTACTTTGTCAAATATCAGGTGGCTGAAAATGTGTGTACTCGGGTTTGGAACTTCAATGATGTTACATTGATCTATGTGTCTGTTTTGCACCAGTACCATACTGTTTTTATGACTATAGCTCTATAGTGTACTTTGAGATCTGGTATAGTAATCTGCCCAGCATTACCCTTTGTGCTCAGGGTTACTTTGGCTATCCAGGGTTTTTTGTGCCTCCATATGAATTTAAGGATGGATTTTTCTAATTCTGTGAAGTATGTCACAGGGATTTTGATTGGGATTGCATTGAATCTGTATATTGCTTTTGGTAGGATAGTCATTTTCACAATATTAATTCTTCCAATCCACGAACATGGGAGGTTCTTCCATCTCCAGGTGTCTTCCTCAATCTCTTTAACGATTTAAAAATTTCATTGTAGAGCTCTTTGGTGTCTTTGGTCAGATTTATTCCAAGATATTTTATTTTATTTTTTTGCAGCAATTGTGAACGGGAGCATTTCCCTGTATTCTTTCTCCAACTGCTTGTTATTGGTATATAGGAAGGCTACTGATTTTTGTAGATTGATTTTATAACCTGCTACTATACTGAAAGTGTTGATCAGTTCTAGGAGTTTTCTGCTGGAACTTTTGGGA